ATGTATTGTGCTTACATTTAAAATTATAGAGTTAGATATACGAAACTAGTCGTGCGGGAGCTTGGTTTTATTCTATGGCTTGATAAATAAAATGCTTCAACTCGTTGAAGGCTCGAATTAGTAATGATTCGTTATCATAGTTTTTAAACTCGGATTAAGAATCAACTCGAGCAATTTTTCGAGTCACCGGTTCGATCGTCGAATCACCTGATCAATTGATGAACTGGATAATTAATTTTAGATTTTAAAAATATTTATAGTATTTTTAACATATAAATATAGAAAAAATAATAGAAATAAATATTTTGTATATAAATGTACATCAAATTGTTCATAATATTGTATCTTATAATAAATATTTATATATATTTTTAAATTAAAAAAATATATAAACAAATATAAGGAGCCGGTCAAATCGGGTTGACCCGGTCGGGTCAATGTCCAGGTCAGGGTTAGGTTGATTGGGTCCAAGGTCACTCGGTCCGAAACACCCACCTGGATCGATCCGAGTTGAAAAAATGTACTCATTATATTTGAAAATTTGAAATATTTATGTAATTTCTTAAACTTAAGAATAATTCAGTTCTTTAATGTTAACGAACCAAACTTGGTTTGACTTGTTTAGAGTTCTATTTGTTTTTAATACCAAGAATGTTAAAAGAAATGATTATTGGTAATTAGTATGTATAATAATTGAAAAAAAAAACGTGACCTTACTATAGATTTATTTATAATTATTTCTAATAGTATTTAGAGCATGTTTTAAATATCATGGCGGTAGATTATATCGACCACTGATCCTATAAAAATATATAGAAAATACCAAAAAATGGTAATACCAAATTGTGTTGGCCCTATATGATAAATCAAGGTTATGAGAATCGAATTGATCATTGTGTTCGATTACACTGATATTTAATTTATTAATATTTTTAATAATATGTAATATTTTAATACTAATTTATGCATAAAAAAATTTTTATTAAGTATTTTGATTGTTTGAAACACTGAAATGGATAATATAATATATATATATATATAAATACTTTTATAAATATTCAAAATATTTAAAAATAGCTCACCATAAATAAAATATAAAAATAAAAACGAAAACATACAGAACAAAAACCAGTGATGACTTAATGGGATATTACCGCAAATCCGGTAATTAGAGCTATAAAATTAAACGAGCAACTAATAAGCTCGGCTCAACCTATTTAAACTCAAGCTTATTTAAAGTTGGATTAATAAACAAGATAGAGTTTCACTCTTTTACTCCACTACCGGTGACTAGATATGTTAAATTTAACGTCATTTTCGTATCAATCACGCTCTGGTACTTACTAGTCTGTCCATTAGAAAGACCACCTAAAGTAATACACGCTATCTTATAGTTATGGATAAGGTGTCCCAATCTCTTGTTACATCCCATAATAACCACCCACACCAATAAAGGAAAAAACAACACAAACAAACATTGATCACAATTCACTTGGACTTGCCTTGCACAAACACTATATCCCAATGGACAAACACGGCACAAAAGAAAGGCCAATTCTAATAGCCATGAAGGGCCATCCCGGAACCGGAAAGAGCACGCTAGCAAACGCCCTTGCCAAGGCCCTCAAATTCCCGCTCATCGACAAGGACCATTTCCGAGACTCCACGCTCCCGATCCAACGAGCCCTCGAGCAAACCGCGGTGCTCACCACCGAAGCCGCCGCGAATCTCCTCAATGACCTATCGTACGACGCCATGTGGCGGTCGGCTGCGACCCAGTTGGACTTGGGCTTAAGCGTGGTGGTCGACTCGCCGCTCTCGAGACGGGCCCACCTCGACCGGCTGCTGGAGATTGCGTCCGGCGGCCGGGTCGTGGTGGTGGAGTGCAGGGCGGGGGATGAGGCCGAGTGGCGGAGGAGGATCGAGTCGAGGGCGGCGGCCGGCGGCGGGTGGCGGCACAAGCCGGCCACGTGGGCAGAGATGGGGCGGCTGTTGGAGGGCTACGGCGGTTGTTGGGAGTATGATGTTGGTGAGGTGGCTAGGATTGTTTTGGACACCACTAAAGATGGTGTTGAGGTTGGGGATTTGGTGTCTAAGGTGATTGGGTTTGTTCATTCTAGTGAAAAATGTTGGGTTCGGCCAGACTCGACTCGTTAAGGGTTCGAGTTCGAGCACCTGGAGCTCGAATGCGACTTGACTCGTTAAGGAAATGAGTCAAAAATCAAGCTGAAGTTCGAGCTAATCTCGAGTTTTAACGAGCTGATTTATAGAAAATTATATAAATTTTTTCTTTTCGAGCCTTAACAAGTCGAGATCACGAGCGACTTGTTTCGTGTAACAATTTTGGGCAGAAACATGATTTTGATGGGGGTTTAGTTATGGTATGTTTTGTAGCTAACTTAATGTAGATTTTTTGCATATTTGTGATTTTATATTTGCTAGTTATCTACTTCAATTTTATTGTACTCCACCATTGATGTTGATTAGTGCTCAAAAGATGAAAGAGATGGGGTCATTCACAATTTTGTGAATTTCGGAGTGAGATTAGTACACATATGATTCGGATCAAGTTGATCCGGGACTAAAGAAAGCAAAGTGTAGCATCACCACAAAAATTATATGGTTTTCAGAAATAAAATAATGTGGAGGGAAAGGGTCATCAACAACTTATTAGCGATCATAAATTTTTGTATGAACCAAAAGTGACCTCCGTATACTCATTGTACGTAGTTGTTTAATAAAAATACATATATTTATATTATAAAATATTATATTTTTTATGTTGTTTTTCAAAATATGATATTTCACTTGAAAATATGTGTATTAGTTAAAAATGATTGATTGTCTATACTCTATATGGCCTACTAATTGGCTTAGCCACCACTAATCTATAATGCCCTAATTTTTAGGAAAGGAAAAAGAAAAAGTATTGATTGTATACACTACAAGAAAATGATGAAATTTCAACGGAATTATATTCTAATAGAATTACAACGACAATTCCAATGTATATTTCAATGTTATTATTTCCGTTGGAATTATTCCAACGGAAATTTCAACAAAAATATTTCGTTGGAATAAGTTTTCCATTGGAATTTCTGTTGGATTTTGACGATTCCAACGGTAGATTTTTCAACGATGATGGAAATAAAAATTCCAACAGAAATTGCATATTCCAACGGAAATTCCTACGGTCAAAAGCCGTTGGAAATATAGCCGTTGGAATCATCAAATTCCATCTAAAATTTCAGTGAAAAATACATTCCAACGGAATATTTTTGTTGGAATTTCCATTGGAATCATTCCAACGGAAGCTATACTATTGGAATATCCGTTGAAATTTCTATTGGAATATATTACCATAAGATTTTTCGTTGGAATATAACATTTTTTTTGTAGTGATATTGACGTCTTGGAAATAATTTATTGAATTAAAAAGGTGAAGTAAAAGAATAAATATAATCGTTGGAATAATAAATTATATTTTAGATTAAAAATGAATATGAGATAATATGAATAATTAAAGTTGACTAAGAAAAAGAATAATAAAATAATGAATATGAATGATATATTAATAGTTAAAAATATATAAAATAATGAATAGTGAATTTTATTAAAAAAATATGCAGTAATAACTGATTTTTATTATTTAGTTATTTGATAAGTTTGAGGAAATATANTTTTTCACTTTATCCCACTCACATTTTAAAAAAAAAAATTAAATTAAAAATAATTAATTTACATATTTTTGTATAAAATGTATTATTCATTCACAAGCATTTTATAATTATCAATCATGCTTTTTATACTAAAAAAACAGTTAATTTTCTCACCAACTTTTTCTTTATCCAACACTATTCTGTTCCAATTCATGAAATGTTACAAATTTTAACATATCAATATACTAATTGAACATTAAATAGTTGTATACCATAATAAAATAAGGAAAATGCTACAAATACATAATAAATGTACATAGAGGTGTACATAACACTCACATGGAATGGGTCCACTTGATTTTTTATTTAGGTAATGCTACAAGTACATAATGTATATAAAGGTATATATAACACTCACATTAAGTGGGTTCTACCAAAAAAAATTAAGTGAACCCCACTCCATGTGAATGTTATGTACATCTCTATGTACATTTTATAGTATTTTTCTTTTTATTTTTTGTGGGTCTCATATTCCTACATATAACTTTTCTCATAAAATAAATAAACTAATTTACAGAACATGCCAATTGCCAGGTACTATAAAAGCACAAATTTTGCACCAGGCCCACAAGAAAGATATAAATTACAATCATACCCTTGAAAAATGGTCACAAAACCCGGCATGAGGTTAATAATGGCAGTAAACCAGCTCAGATGGTTAGAATGAGGGTTTTTTTTACATAGAGGCCTAAATCGGATTTCTCAAAGGGCGGTTGCCCCTCTCGCCCAAAAACCCCATGATTTCTTTAATCAAACAGCCCTTTTGAAGAAATAAAGTACTGGAAAATGAAGCTGCCTCAATCAATAATCTCTCTCTTTCTATCTATCTCTATATGTGTGCTTTGTGTGATTGATGTGCCGGCGTTGGTGGCGGCGGCGTTGGTGGTTGTTGGTGACAACGTACGGTGTTTGATTTGTGCATATGGATGTATAATTGTATATAGAGGCTGTGATGATTTTCACTTGTCCATCTGTCTGAGCTGAACGGGCCCGGATAGAAAAAACGCGGCCCGTAACTTGGCGGGGCGACCCGGACGGCCGGCGAGTTAATCGCAGGCAATCGGTGATTTTCGCAGCCATGGCGCAGCCGCATTCTCTTGGCCTGGTTTAACAAAAACTACAGATCTGAGCCTCTGTTCTGGTTTTCTGATAATGTCCCTTTGTTTTTTCAGCTATAAACAAAGGTGACTTTCCCCTTTTTTTATTTGATTTCAGAAAGCTTTATTAATGAGAGACAGTTTTCCGTTGCGACTTTCTTATGAGTTCTTACTTTCAACCCAACCCAATCTAATAATTAAAAATTATTTTTCTTTCCTCCATCTACACAACTCAATCTTTCAACTCAATTTATGTTATCCTCAACCCAACTCAACCTAAATATTTATTTTATTTTAATTTATTAAAAAATTACAATTGTGTTCTAAAATATATCAAGTGTGGTTTCTATTTGTAAAGAATAAAAAAATACAATTTTAATATTTTTTTTATTTTTTTTAGAAACAAAAAAAAATACACTTGTCCAATAAAAATAAGACAAGTGTCCCATTTCTGTACAATAATCGGTCACGACCCGAGGTCGCTGAAAGTTGTGACCATTTTTTTTTTGTCTTATTTCCGTGACCCAATGAGTGGGTCACGGATAAACATAGTCTTATGCACCACGATTAACAAAAGTCAGAATCAATTTTTATCACATATTTGTCTCTTATTGACGGAGTCGGTTTTCAGTTAGTTATATTCAATTGTTTCTCATGTTGTTGATCGAAATGGCTTGATAATATTAATTTATCAAACAAAAAATATTGTGTATAGAGAGGTGTTTAGGGTGTGATTGTTTATATTTTCTATAGTAAATATCTCACTCAAAACTCAAATTTAACTCAACTTTAACTCAACTCCACTATCTCCAATATTATCAATATAACTAAATAATATCAAAAAATTATTATTACACATCACATCAACTTTAATTCACTATTCACACACTCATATAATTTTAACTAACCATCACTTCCAATCATTTTCTCCTACATTTATATCAAATCAACTTTAATTATTTTAATTTAAATATTATTTTAATATATCCACTAACAACTAACCATACTAATTTTTTTCAAACTTAACTATAGTTAAAAAAAAAACTAGTTTTTTACTAGTTGAATTCATATTCAATCACCCCCTTAACACTTACAATATGTATTTTTTTTTATTCTAAGTTGATTAATATTTTTTATTCACGAAAATATAATAATAAGACTGCTAAATAACCTGTTCACCCCGTGAATCGCACGGATTCCATACTAGTATTCATAAACAAAGATCTCATATTACATTACATGAATAAGCAAAATAAGCAAATTGTTCATCCCGTGCATCACACGGGTTCTGTACTAATTACGTTCTTTATTAAAAACAAATATTTCTTATTTCAAAGACTTCATATTACAGAACATGAATAAACAAAATAATTAATCAACTCAGACGCACTATGATGCACAGTCACTGTGGTGCACACAGGCAAGTGGTACTAGGTAGGTCTATAATCCGACTTGTTACAATAAAATAAAAGCACACAACTTAATATATAGTAATAATGTGTATCGATCAATTCTTAATAGGATCCACAAACAAAGCGAGGATGTGTGGTTTCAAAACCTTCTCCGGCTGAGTGTAACCGTCTTCGTTGCCCTTATACGTGACGTCTATTATACGCTCGAGATTGAGAATACGCATTAGAACGTTCCTTGGGTGGGCAGAAGGCTTAAGACACTCCTCATTCATGTCCTTCCATGCATCCATAGCTATCTCGAAAAACTTATCCACCGCAACTTCTTTGCAAACCCCATTTTCCTTCATGTAACTTTCCATCCCAGTAGAGATTTGCCCTCTTTCTTTCTCAACCTGACAAAATCCAAATATTGAGTATCGATCCGTTTATTATAATTATCATTATTATTATTATTACTATTATTATTGTTATATGCATGTGTAACATTTGTAAGAATTACTGCAATGCATACCTCATAAGTAGCTATGTCGTCAATGAGGCGACAAACTTTGAGGCTTGCAACGAGCATCTTAGGTTTATGACTTAGCCATTTGAAGTCTTCCTCTTTTGCAGATTCTTCTCCGAGCAAGGCCGTGGTCGTGTGATAACAGTAAGTGCATGTGATTAGAGCATTTTCGAGGTACTCGGAAAATGGCGGCAAGTAGCCTTGAATAAACCACTTGGCTTCCACGTGGTAGCTCCTCACCAATTCCTTAAGCTGGATTAATTAATCAAATCATGAACCGAATACATAATAATTTAGTTAATCTTAAAAAAATAATGAAAATCGTAGAAGAAATTAAGAAGAATGAAAGTTATTAGTGAGTGGTTGAGTAATTAATGAGAACATACTGCTTCTTTTGCATAGTATACGGCATACGATCTTCCTTCATTTGCTACTTCTTGTTCAAATTGCATGTATAGTTCCAAAAGAGCTTCATATAATGGTTTCAAATACTCTGGCAGTGCATCAATTTGGCTAATGTCCCACCTATATATATATAATTAAGTTAGAATTGAACAAACTAAATTAAGATAATTAATGATATGGATCTTTATCAATTGTGGTATAATTAGTTACCTCTCAATAGCCTCTGTAAAAATTTCAAGCTCCTCAATTGTAGCATAAGAATCATAAGTGTCATCAATAATAGAAGTCATAGCAATAGTCTTAGTCAGCATGATCCGAGCACGAGAGTATTGAGGT